GCTTCAGTAACTACTTAGCTCAGCAGACTTCTTCTTTCAGCTAGATGATGGCCTGGTAATATCTTACTCTCTTGTAGGTCTTTAATGACTTGAAGAAAAAGTTTTAAATATATTTTATCCAAAAATGTCAGTGGTTTTAGAGAGAAAGTAGGTCAAAATAATCCAGCCCACCATATTACTGGAAATGGAAAATCCACTTCGCACCCTTCGGTTATTTCTCTGGTATCTATTTCATTATGGTTTATAACATTTACACTCTATTCTACTGCTGTAGTTCCCACAATTTCATTAGACTTAGTCATTGAAAGGATTCAGTGCTCATTGGCAATCTTTTTGTCACCTATCCATTCCTTTCCTGGCTGGATGAAGTTCATTCTGTTGTTAATTCCTTCCAGAAAAGCTCTTAAGAAGTTTATTTCCTGAAGTTTTGCATGCTCACAGCCATTTGGCTGTTGTTTTCATTTTTTTAGTGACAATTTAGGTATAAAATTAATGAATCATACTTTCTTTCCCTGAAACTCATATGTGTGCTTCCTTAATCTGCTCTGGAGAAATCAGAAGCTGGCTTGCTTTTTTTATTTTTCCTTGTAAGTGACATAATTCTGTTTCCTTGAAGTCCAGTAGCTTTGAAAGGTTATATCTTAGTATTAATGAGTCTAATTCATTTCCCCCAGGGAAAGAGCATACCCTTTTAATCCTAAGATTTGACACTCTATTTCAGAAAAGTTTTATACTTAAATCTGGGTATTTTTTTTCTGCCTTTACTTAGCTCCTTAAGTGACACCATTTATGTATATGTTGGATCACCTTTTATCTGTGGTCTTTATCTGTCATTTATCTGTCTAACCCCCTAGAACTTTTGCTCATTCATCTCAAGCAGGACCTCATAGCTCTGAATGGGTTCAGTACTGTTTTTGTCCTGGGTTTTAACTGTTTTACTTTTTATTCCTCTTTTCCTCTTTCCATTGACTTCTGTGGACACTTTCTCAGGGTGGGTTCTTAGTTTGCCTTTTGTTTCTCATGACCTCTTCCTTCTTTTATTTTGTTTAGTGGGTCTAAAATCCTCCTCAAAGGTGGGGATTTCTTCCTGGAAAATCAGTCACAGGACAATTGGGGGAAAAAGTAGGCCAATGCTCAGGGCCAGGTCCCAGTCACGTCCCTCACAGGGGGTACAGGACAGAGGGCTTTGAGGGATGACGGTAGTTCGGCCTCCCCTGATTTCAGCACACACTCTGCCGGGTCTCCTCGCCTGCTCCAGGCTGGCGCCGATGGCTGGGCCCACCTGTACTGCTGCTTGCTCAGCCCTGACACATCATGTTACCTTCTTACTCCCCACTCCTGTTGCAAACAAGGGCGGCTGGTACCCATTCTGTACCCTGTTAATGTGGCCATGGCAGGCATCCTTTCTCATGGTCTTTTCCTGTGGATCCTCTTCACATGCATTCCTTCGGGGTGCTAAGTTTTCCTCAAAGATGGAGTTTTGCTTCTTTTTGTGCATTTTCTTTACTGCTTTTAGGTAGCTGCAGAGAGAAGGGGCCAGGGCCATCTTAGGTGTAAGAGTATTCTTTTAAGAGAGCAGATTTGTCAAGACCCCTGCTTTTTCTGACTAAAGAATGAAAAGAAATCGAGGCATTTCCCTGAGAACCAGTTGATCTTGGTGTATCACAAGTGTATATTCTTCACAGGCAGAGCTAGGCTGAGGATGCACAGTGTTCAGTGTTTATGCCCCCAGCCCTGCATGCACTTATCAGGGATCAGTGCGGCATCTCTGGCATTTTCCGGGGGTGACACCTGGTCCCCCTGTGGAGGTCTCTCTGGATAAGCAGAGTGCACTTACACTCTTATCATGCACAAGTAGATAACAGTTGAGAATTCTTTATATGATGATAAGGCAAAGGGTTATATTTGGATTTAAAATTTTGTTCCTCAACCCTCTAAAAAATTTGAAATATGTTGCCATTGCTAGAACCTGAGCAGAAAATGCAGAAATGGAAGAACTGTGTTTAATAGCATATCTTGATTTTTTTCTCCACTATCCAGAAGTTGAAAGGGAGAGAAATGGAGATGTGAATTTCTCATTTTCTCATTTAAAATGAAATTAATTCTAAAGGAATATTTATTGTGCTCACTTCAGCAGCACCTAAGCTGAAGGAATATTTATTGAGTGTAAGCAATCTGGCCTGGAATTGTTTCTCAGTTCTGTTTGCATGGCTCTTTGTGGCCAGGCTGGACTGGTCTTCTCTGGGGAAGCCCAGGTTCAAGTTCTGCAAAGGCAGCATGAAAAGCAATGTCTGAAAGACAGTGTGGAAATTCTACTCTTTCCCCCAAGATCCAAGCATGCACAGCTAGTGCTTCGTCCCAAATATTTCATGGGTTCTACATCTCATGCCTGAGATCCAAGAAGTGAGGATGCACCATCTTTCACTAACTCCACTGTGCCCTTCTGTCCCGTTTAGGCCTGGTGGGAAGCTGGCATCTTACTTAGGCAGCTGATTGGTGCCTTGGCCAATCCCCAGGCTTCAAGTCAAACTTTCAATCAACATCTCAACTGTTTGTGCTTGTATCACTATGGTGTCTGTATAATTTATCCTCTCAAGGAGGACACATCTGAAAGAGTTGATTAACAATTAAACAGGGCCATAAACGTAAATTGAGAATGTCCCAGGCAAACCAAAAGGAATGGCCGACCTAATTACCTCCTCCATTTCCATGCTAAATCCAAATATATTGTGATACATTGTAACATACAGCTCCCTTTTTCTCCAGCACTGCAATAAAAACCTGACATTATCTTTATTGCCAAGACTAGGTACTTATTCATACTTAGCAGCAAAACTAGTATCTTTTAGTAATGAATTATTTAATCCTCAAAGTCCTTCAATTTTATGGGTGCATACATTCATTTTTACATTACACACTAATATCATGCTCATAGTTTTCTGCCACTTTATAGGAAATGGAGTTTGATTTATGATCACAGTTATTACCCAGAGTTTGATGGTAGGGTTACAGTGCTTTTAGATGGTAAATTCCCTCCATCAGCAATGGCCGTAAGAGAGCAGGACAGCTAACAGTCACTCAGTGGACACGGGGCGCTGGGCCCTGTGCTAAGAGCTTTACTTAGGTAAAGAGAGCTACAGGTAATACTTCACTTAATCCTCGCACCCAGGTGATGAGGAAGGTACTGTTATCATTCCCTGTCTACAAATTACACAGATAACTTAGGTGTACTTACAGAGCTGGTAAGTGCAGAGCCTGCCTGAGTATGCAAACCATATATTCTGTATATCGTACAGCATACAGACCCGATACTAAGTAAATATACAGACAGTACCTAGTGCCTCATGCGCTTGGGCACATTATGTGCTAATTATTCCTGGCTAAGGAATGTGTTCAATTTTATGTCACAGACTGTGAATGTTTCCTTTAAGGAGAAGTGTCGAAACGGCACTGGCTCAGTGGCTCCACCCTCGTCCAATTTGCCCACTGCTTCAGCTTGGCGTATTTCCCCTACAGGTTTACCAACTTGTGTGCTGCCTTCCTTGGCTTTGCGAAAGATGCGTTAAATGGTGTTTGTTTATGTTATATTGTTGCATTCTTGAAACCTAGCGCAGACTGCTGAGGAAATGTGATTTTAGTGGGGTAAGTACTGAGAGAAATTCAACTCACGTGTTTTAAGATCGTCTTGAGAGCTCCTGGATGTATGGGATACTGAGTCCTAGGTTGATGTATTCCATCACTTGCTCAGTAGGATGGCCTGTCTCCCTTGAGGTTCTGGCGCCATTTCCCGCAGACTTACTGTGCGTTCGCGAGTTCTTCTAGGCTCCAAGGACCAGAGCAGCAGGTGTCTTGGCACCGTGTCCAACCTGGGCCCCCGAGGAGAGTACTGTCAACACTTAACTGGCTTCCCAACCCAGCTCGGGGAAACCGCCTCCCCCGGCTACCACGGGAGAGGACCTGAGAGGACGACTGACGTGTGACTTTAGTGTTTCTGTTGCTTTTCTACTATTTCCATTGAGCATTTTAAAATTTGTGGCATGAGGAGAAGCTGATATAATTAACAATTGTCACCAATGTTCTGGGAGCTTCCTGTGCATTATTTTATTTAGTCTGCCTAACAATACTATGAGATAGGCCTGTTTTCTCCCATTTTGCAGAGGGAGAAATTGAGGTTCAGAGAGGTCAAGTGACTTGCACAAGTCCCAAAGCAGTGGCCTTTGGATAAAACCCAGGGGAGAATAACTCCCCAGTTCACATCTGCCCTTCACACTCTACCGTTGCTGACTCCCAAGCTAGTCTCTGGTCAGTGAAGCATCTTCCCATGACTTTCCTTCTAGAGCCAGACCTGTCCCTCAAACCGCTGTATCTCGGGTTTTCCTTCGGGGCATCACTTGCCGTGCGTTTGTGATTCTTTGAACTAATTATTAGAAAGTATTTTGGGAGAAGAACTTGGGTGCATTTCATCAAGCAATCTGGGACAATATTTGGTAGATTGATCCTACACCGATGGGGGAAGTTCTGTTACATGGTTCTGAAAAATCTGAAGAAACAAATGTGATATTTGAAAAGATTTCGCCACCTTCTCCTCTTTGGTCTTTATGAATTGACAGATGCCTACAGCCACAGGGAAGCTCCCATCGCCTGAGTAGCCTTGGCCCAGATACACCAGCATCGAGTAGCCTCCCAAGGCCTGGGTGCAGCATGGTATCTGAAGGCTCTCATCTGAGTGTTTGTAACTGCACCATGCTACAGATAAATCATTTAAGTGTTAGAAAAATTTTGGCAGGAAGATAGCAAAGGTCAGCGTCCCTCACCCCACTTACCTGTGTAGTGATCGGACCAAATTCAGAAGGTTTCCTCAGGAAATGAAGTCTGTGCCCACAGCAACTTACCACTGTCCATAGCCCAGTTTTCAGGGGACGCTGAAGGCTCCTGAGGTCAGTGTGTTGTCACAGTTCACAGAGATGGGTTTTCTTGCATCATCTTGTGGTTGGTTGCAGGGAACTCGTAAGCCAAACCCTCCTCAGAAGCCTCTGCCTGCAGATCCTTTGAACAAGACCACGCGGCTTGCCAGCACCTCAGCCAGGCCCCTGGGACAGCAGGAGTCCGGGCTCCGCCTTGCGCCCATCAGGTGGGTGTAACGCAGCAGTGCCCCTCTCTCTCTCCCCAGAACTGCACCAACCCATGCTTTTCAAGCCACGTCAGCACCTGGGTGTGTTGGTCTAGGCCACGTGGCCTGCGCTTCCTGCACCTGGGAGCAGTATGAAACAGGTGCGAGGGCAGATATATCAGCAACAGGGGGGGCGTCGTGAGCTCATAAGCACAGGCATAACCCTGGAGCTCTCAGCAATGGCCCCAGTGGCCCCAAGAGAGCAAGATCAAGTGGAACTAGATGGTACACCTTGGAAAGCTGTGGATACAGGCCAGGCCATTACCTCCAAAGAGACGAAGAAGAGAAGCTACCAAGTGGTAGGATATTAGGAAGGCTGGGCACCTGCCTCCAAAAGTTTCACCTAGTCCTTGATAGACTCCACCCAATCCCTGGGGTCTCAGGGGAGGTGGGGTCAGAGAGAGTCCTAAGGGGACTATCAGAAGTTAGCCTAAAGCAGCTGCTCTTCAGGAGGAGACCTGGGATAGCTGGGAGCTTCTCCATCACAACTAACAAAAGAAATCCCCATGAAAGCCCTTTCCCCAGCTGTGGTCCTCTCTGACCCTGTACCAGAGGACCAGGAAGGCATAGTCCTGAATCCTAGCTTCTGCAGGGGGGTCAGCTTGGTAGGGTGCTGGACCCAGCCCACCCTGGTTCTTGAGAGCTATTAAGTTTCCAGGAATTTTGGAAGCTAGGTGTTAAACCTAGCTAGCCACTATTAAATTATATAAACTACTTCCATTTTTTACTACGTTTTACCATTATCTCTGCTCTTGAGGTTGCATGTACCTATTATCTCTGTGTGGTGGGCATACTGTGTGATGGCGGTTTCTCTTCCATGGTGGGTCAGGTCAGGGTGGGAGCCTGAATTTTATACCATGGGAACGGACAAAGGCTATGAGCCAGGCCTTCTCCTTCCCCCCAGGGGGCGGACCTTCACCAGCGCACAGACTGGTTAACCCTCCTCCAGAATGCTCTTCGGACTTGCAGGCCCCCCTGGCAGGAAGCTTTATCAGCTCAAAACAACTAAAGGTGGTGGCTGGCCGGGCCCTGAGTTCAATGATTCAGTGTCTCTGAAGGGGAGGGCCTGTGTTAGCAATTTCATTACAGCTTTTGGGAAAAATGTTTGGCCTGTGAAAGAGATAGCTGCCTAATAAATCTCAGAGATAAAGCCAGTCAAAGCGTCAGGACAGTGGTTTAATTCCTGCCTGCATAAACGCAGAAAAGTTGCAGCGCACCCTGATTACTTCATCGTGGTTGGTATGCTGATCTTGAAGTTAGTTACTCTGCTTGTTCAAAAGAAAGAGCAATGCCTGACATGGGCACGGGCCGGCCCTCTTGTTAGATGCCCTCAAGCAGAGCAGCCTCTCTTACCTCTGCCAGGACTGACGCCGGCACGAGCCAGTTTGGACCGTGTCCTGGCAGGAGAAGAATGCTCTGCACATTGGCATTTGAGGGATCCCACCTGCCCAGCTTTGCTCCCAGAGCTGTGCTAATACCCTGGCCGTGGGCTGAGTGTGGCTGGCAAAAACTGATATGCTGTGAGTGCAAATACACACTGGATTTTAAGGACTTTGCACCCCAAAAGTGTCAACTATAACTTTTTATATTGAAATACTATTAGTCTGGATGTATTGGGTTAAATGATATTTATTACTAAATTAGTTTCTTTTTACTCTTTTCATGTGGCTGCTAGAAAATGCTGTTACCTATGTGGCTCACCCTTTTTCTACTGAATGGCGCTGTTCTTGAGTCGACCTGTGGGTGGGAGGTATAGCTTTGGAGAGGCCCCTCTAGTGGTTGGCTGTTGCAGACCGCTGGAAATCGCACAACTCTGAGCAAGGTCCTTTATGCAATCTGCAACCAAATCTGCAACCAAAAGCTAGAGCGTCTCCAGCCCCCAGTGTGTGTGAGTTTGGGGGTAGGGGGGTGGGGGGTGGATTGCCTGATCCTGGAAGCCCATCAGAATGCAGGGAAAGATGTGCACCTGCTGATGTCTGTCTATTCAGAAACTGCTTTCAAGGCCTCTAATTTGCTCTCTCCTCTCTTGCCTGCTCTTGATGCAGACCTGCTCCTAAACAGACACATCAACTGCCCAGACCCACCCACACTGCCTATGCTAAGTGAGAAACAAGCCGACACTTTTTATCAACAGTGAAGACAGAAGTTTGCACTATCTTTCAACTCCAGTTGGAGTTATTTTTTGTACCAACTTCTAGAATTTTTTTAATGTGGAAGACACCGTTATTTTAAGAACTTTGAGCTGCCGCCGCCGGTGCTGTGCTGTGTGCTATGGTGCTCTGTACACTTGCTCAGGTACTTGTAAATTATTAATTTATGCAGAATGCTTATTACAGTGCAGTGCGCTGTCGTGGGCATTCTTACCATCCCTGAGTTTTCCGTGGAAGGAAGGCTCCTTGTGCTTTCAAGAGCTTAGTGAACTTGACATACCGTGCTCTATGGGATTCTGCACAGGGTGTTTACTTTATGATCTAGGCCTTATTGGAGAGCAGGTCCCCATCCACCCATGGCTGTGGTTCTGGTACCAGACACAGCTCAAGAGACCCAGGGAGAAAGAAGCTTGAATGATATTCTGGAACCCGTACCCTTGGGCCAGAGGCAGGGGCTTGGCTTTCGGAGAGACCCTGGGCCCTGTCACCTACCAGAGGCCGTATCCCTTGAAGCCCCAGGATAACAGGGAGGGGTTTGGAGAGGCTGGGGAGCTTTAGGGAGAAGCAGGTTACAGAAAGAAATTCTAAAGTGTGGACACAACAAGATAGAGACTATGCAGCCAGGCAGGAATCTGACCTTGAGCTCACTGACCCTGAGCCCACTTGGAGAGCAAGCAAAGACGTCTGCTTCACGGAAATACCAGCAACACTTTTCCTGGCCGCCCTTTACAGAGCGCTGGCATCTGCACCTTATTTCGAATGGGAAAAGTGGTTTCTACAGGAAAGCTACTGCCTAGGCTCTGCAGACCTCCATCCTCCAGCACCGTGCGGGGCTGAGCAAGTGCCCATCTTGTCTTCTCAACTGTAATGCCATGATTCTGTGCACAGACAGATGAAGCTTTCCACGCAACCATAACTATTTTCAGGTGTGAACCAGTAACCAGATTTTGTAAACCAATTTTGTAGATAAAAGTATCCTTTTATTACAAGGTTCAACCTATTAAAAATTAGGCAGACTCCCTATGCTTGCAAAAACTACAATCAAATGGAATGCTGTGCTCGCTCCCTGGCATGGGCTATGTCTGCTCTTGATTAGATATATTGGTCAGAGAATCATAAGTTGCTGGGAAATTCTCTTTGGGGCATCCTGTTTTCCCAACTTGGCTACAGGAATCTCTAAAAGATGTTTTTAGCATAAAGTCTGAGTCTATTTCTCAAACACTTTCAACCTACCTGTTGAGCATGACAGGACGTGATAAGGAGATCAGTTTCCTAATCCTAAATATTCATGAACTGCTGTCTTGGGCAGCAGCCCCCTCAACCCTAAAACTCTTCAAATGTCTGACTTGGGAGCCATTTTCACAAGGAGGTCTTGAAGACGCCTGTGTCTAAAGGCATGAAAATTACAAAAATACTCAGACAAGGTAAAACGCCATTGTGCCTCTATCTTCTCATGGGGTCATATATGACTATCACATTAGAAGGTAACTGACAACAGTTCCATAATCTGCTATTTTGTGGCAAAGACTGCATCTGGGTCATCTCAATGGTTTTCTTATGCCTAGAAGCAGAAAGACAGACCTACCAAGAATGTTGGTTTGCCTTCGGGAAAACAAGACTGCATCTAACGCTCCCCGTACCCACCTCCTGCATCTAGGCAACACAGTATTCGTGGTCATGGATAAACGAAATCCACATCACCAGCACACACACAGAAGGGAACCCAGCTCCAATACATTCCAACTCCCATAGCGTGCATCTGCTTATTTTACAACTATTGATTTCTTAAAAATATAAAGCCATGTTAGAAAATATTACTGCTGATGAGTACATACAGAATTACTGTAACTGATATTACACTTGGTAATTGTAGGAAGGCCAAAACATATACTATTGAAAAGTTTACATAATTTTTATGGTGCATTATGTGGGTTTTGTCTTTATAGGTCCCCAGCCCCTTCATCTGATATTTTTGCCTCTCTCCCTGTTGCACGGAAGAGGATGTGAATTTTTTTGTGTGTTGGCGGGAGTCTCTCCTTAGCTATAATTCCTGTACCTCTATTTCAGAGAACCAGGAATTGTTTGATACTAAAAGAGGTTAACACTGTGATCTTACACCATGTCATCAGTGGCCACTTCGGGGCTGCAGCTGATGACACATCCCTCTCTCCACAGTACTAACTGCTTTTATAGAGCCACGCAATTTATTTCTGGATAAGAACATATTTAAACCTAATATCCCCTTGCAATATGCAGATATTATTAAAGGGACACTGTTTCCAAGATGCAATATTTATCAAATGAAGCATATCTAGCAATAACTTTCATTTTATTATAACTTAGAGAAGCAACCAGTAGCCAGGTTTTCTTGGAGGGAGGTATTCCTCCCCCTTTAATATCCTCATAAATGATGAAAAAAATAAATACTTATATTTCAATGGCAGTCTCTTTTTTAATATTTTTTTTAATTTTATAGGCATGAATAATGGAGTTGACTTCAGCTTATACGGCCATCACTGAGAAAGGCAGTGCGCTCAGACACAAAGTAGGCCCTGAGGGTAGTTACTTTTCTTCATCTTATTATAGCTGTAGGTTCTGGGACCCCCACTTCACTGGGAAGTATATGGCTGCTCTTCCAAGCATTCTGTTTAAAAGTTTAGCTCCTGAAATGTCCTTCCACAGTTTGTTTCCCTGACACAGGGAATCAGATGCAATCAGGAGAAAGAGTGCGTAGCATTTTCCATTGTCAGAATACCACGCACAGAGGTTACACTTCCCAGTGTGAATTTTTCCAGCTTACACGTGTGGAATCACAGAACCCACAGAAGCAACAAATTAAACTACAGGAGAATATGTGCTCCTGACGAGTCTCAGGGGGTACATTTTTCTGCCTTCTTAACTTTGTTAGGAATTCTCAGGCTGAAACCACAGGCCATCGTTCTCTGGCAATCAACACATCAGTGTACCCTCCCCCCCTCCTCCACAAAAGATGAGTGTCAGTCTGTTTCTTTGGAGACTGTGATCTCCCACGGTGCTAAAAGAGCCTGGTGCTGGGCCGGCTGAATGCCCAGGCATCCTCCTGCCATCACCCCCGATGTTTACCGAGCATTCTGAGCCACCAGGACCCTGACAACTGAACGCCTGGGATGCCTGCGCAGCTGGGCCGGGTCTTTCTCCTTTTCCCCTGCACACTGACCACCTTGCAGTCTCTCCTCCTGGAACTTATTTCATTTCAAACTGCTGCTGCAGAGGGCTCCACTGGGTGTTGTGGGACCAGGAGGCCCAGGGCAGACTGGCTCTGGAGATGTGCCTCATGGCTAGCAAAGTGACCCAGCCAAACCCCAGGGACCCAGATAACCGTCCGCCAGTGCTGACCCTGGCTGGGGCTCAGGCTGTGGCCTTCACACACTATGGCTGTTGGTGGGGACACTTCTCCTCCCCCCCACCGCATGCAGGAGCAGGCCCGTAAACACAGGTGCACCCAGGCAGCCGAGACTAACAGACTTCTGCTCCCCCTTCCCACCCACACACAGTCCCTACCCCAGGCCACCCGGCTGCTGATGCTTCTGTCCCTGACCAAGCTCTGTGCCCACAGCTACCACAAGTCCATACCTTGGGCACCCAAAGCCCTCCTCCAGGGCTGTGGCATGGAGCTCTGCCCACCAGCCCTGTATGTGGCAGAGGCCCTCCCACAGGCACAGTGACCTCCCCCTTAAGATAATTCTAACTAGAAGGGGGAGTCGGTCACAGAAGGTCAGTTTCCCTATGATTGCAAAATCCTCTTCACTCACAGCTCCCACTGACACCTATTTCTTTTCAACAAATTTGAAAACTCAGGTAGTGATACAAGTAACACACTAAGAAAGACTCATGAGCCCCAGGGTGACAACCATTTCCCCGCAGAGAGAGGCTTCCAGAAGCTATTTACCTACATATGGATGAGCCATTTCCCTGCTTTTCATAAAGAGAATCCCCTCTTTACTTTTTGGACAGTAATGGCAGCTTATAGCCCAGTAATAAGAGCTTGATATGAGAAAAACTAGGAGAAGGAACACTGCATCTAAAATTGTTATGATGTCCAGTAATGGGTCGCAACGGCCAGAAGACTTAACACACAGAGGAGTCCTCGGTGTGCTTCAGCTCTCCTGGGTTGAGTACCACATAAGCCACCTTAATTTCCCACATCTTCAAAAAACATGTCCTGTGCCCTCCCTGTGATTCTCCTTCCATAAGATGGATTTTCAGTCAGTTTAGCAGAGTTTAAATCCAGACAGAATAAATGTTTTGTGAGCATTTTCGTTGTACAAATAAATAGGATGGCATCTATGTTCACAGCCTATGAGCAAGTACTTAAGTAGGACAGCGATAGAAAAAACACATCAAATCAGACAGAATATTCTCGGAACATCCGAGGCAGGACAAGTGTGGCCGAGCTAATTATTCTCCTGTACCTTCTATCGGGTCAGATTGGGAAGTTGTTGGGCAGGTCCTTTCTTGAAACGTGTGTGACAGCTGTTAAATGTAACTCTTTAAAACTTGGCTACAGGCTATTCAGCACAGTACAAAGTTACAGCTACTCAACCAGTACATTAATTTTATAGGGCATCATCCATTTATAATGCTTCAGTTTGCTAATTTTTTCACATGTCTTTTTATGTTACAGTCTGTTACTTTTGTATGCATTTCTCATATTGGGGTTCTACAGGTAACACAACTTGCTATTTCCATAGAAAAAAATCATTGTTAAGAATATTATATCCAATAAATGGTATACACATAAAGACATGTCTCTTTCATTGCTGAGAATGTTACAAAAATGGGGAGGGGGAACCCCATATAGAAAAATGAATCTATATTCTCATTCATTTATAGATACATAAGGAAATTTTGGAAGAGTACATAAGAAGCTAAAAAGACTGGTGAGCTGGGGGTTTGGTGGTGGGGTTGTATCAGGAGATGCATGGTGCCAACCCACAGCCAGTTAGGGGGACAAGGGGAAAGAAGCTGCCCTTTCATATATACAAGGGGTGGGGTGGAAGTGTGGGGTAGAAGTAGGTGATATATTTACAGAAGAGAGAAACTTAAAAAGAACGCAAGCAGGGGTAGAAACATTTCATCAGACTTACTCAAAATGAGGATCTGAGTATAATGGAAATCGTTTTACAATTTTTTTAAAAAATAGCACCCAACTCCCTAAAGAAAAATAGATATGCAGAAGGGTAACAAGGGGTCTTTACTCTTACCACCCTCCATTCATGACAAAGTAAGTAGGCAAACAATAATATGCAGAAGACCTCAAACATAGCTGATAATGTAAATCAAATTGCTAACAAATGGGATACCCCAAGCATACAGAATATACCTTCTTTCAAAGTGCCTCAGGGAAAAAAATTGTGTAACATAAATAATTTTGTATATTAAGCCACAAAGTAAAACTCACATTCCAAATGGTACAGACAACCATGGGTTGCTTCCTTGGGAAAGTTAAAACATAAGATAAGCCACCATCTAATCTCATTAAGGAAAAAAGATAAAAAGCAAATGCACACAGCCCATGAGCATACAGAATCCAGCAGCCCACTGTAACCCAGTGAGATTAGATCAGGAATATAAGGATGGTTCAATATTTTAAAATCAAACCCAAGTCACCAAACTGATAGGTTGTAGGTAAATATGCTATATTAAGATTACCAAAGATGCTAAAAATTTTGCTGAGATGCAATATCCATTCCCGAGTTTTCAAAAATCTGAATCAATGATGAGATGTGAGAGATGCTAGTGTTGTTTATAGAAAATTAAATTCACAAATAATGTAAGGACCTTAGGGGCATTTTTGGCTATAACAAGTCATCTCTAAGTTATATGGTGACAACAAACACCCTTAAATCTGAGCGATTTAAAACATGAAAGGACTGTGCCTCCCTCACAAGTCACGTCCATTCTTGGGGAGCTTTGGGTCTTCTCTCGGGGCCCTGGGCTGATGAGTGGCCTCCATCTGAGTCACAGCTGGTCTTCTGGCGAGAGGAGAGACACATGGGGATTCTTAAAGCTTCTACTTAGAGAGGAGCCAATTCCACTCACATTTCATTGACCAAAGTCAGCTCCTTTGTATGGCCGAGGCTTCAGTCAGGGGGATGGGACAGTCTTGCCAAGCTTTTATCAACAGGAAGGGATGCGAGAGAAATTTTAGAAATTAATCTAGCAAATTTAAGGAATACACATGCATATAAAAGGTAGAAACACTGATGAGATATCTAGAGAAAGAACTGCCTGTGACCCACCAATCCCGCTCCTGAGGTGCTGTTCTATAAACTATGTGGAATAAAGCTGAGAACTGCCAACAGCAATAAAATTGATGGGGTGCTTTCTCTCCATACCCTTCCCCCTTAGCTTGGACTCGGCATTCCCTTTCAGTCTTGTCTTATGGAAAAAATCCCACTCCTGCACAGACTTTGTAGGGGGGAGCCTCTCACGGGGCTGAGTTAACCAGCTTGTCTCTGGAGACTCAAAATGCCTGTGGTCCGCCAGCTCACTGTGCTGATTTTTAAGTGTGTTCTGCTGAGCTAAAGCTCCGCCATGTTTGTGCCTAAGCTCCCAACCGGCAGGCCTAGCTGCAGTTGGTTCATTCCTGCTTGTCTCCAAACTGCCTGATCAGCATCAAAAACCTTCCTGCTCTGAAAACTAAATGTAATATACTTCTGTTTGGCAAAATCGTTGACATGCCAGCCGCCGAGGTCTTTCACTGTCAGGGCATAAGTATGTGCAAACACGTTCTCAGGCCTGCCCGAAAAAGACCGCCCCTCCACCAGGCACCTCTCACAGAACAGCACTGGAGTCTTGAAATATGTATTTTTCACTTTGATGTGAGGCCAGCAGCTGAGGAGAAAACTTCTCACATGGCCCCCCAGGCTTTTAGGGGGAGCGTCCCTCCGGGAGAGGACACCAGCCTGGCAACACGGCCTGGGAGTCCTGTGGACGGAGGGAAGCACATAACTGAAAACATATGAGCGAAAGAATGTCCACATGGTCCCAGAGGGGCCCCAAGGACAGCGCGGGGGCAGGCGCGGGGAGTGGGAGCTCCGTGTATGTTTGTGCAGCTCCGGTACATAAATATTTTGTCTCATGTCTAACTCCAAAGGCTCAAGTGCTAGAAACCCCCCCACCCCCAACCCCATTCTGCACACACCCAAGGAGGACTCCACAGCCGCACGTGCTTAGGAAAAAAGATGTATTTCAAAGTGGGAACAGTTGCACATTACAAAAGTCACTGTGAGTCTTCGACTAAATAAATCACCAAGCGTATAGCCTTCGAGGTCGCCGAATTTCACCTCCAGTTCAGTCATGTTTTGCTTTGTTTCACTTGGCTTTGGGAGTAAGCGGTGCCCTGGTCAGCGGACAGACGACTTCCTTGGCATTTGCTGTTTTTTCCTTTCTTCTAATAAGGAGACGACATTCTAAACAAACACAAACAGGTGAATGTAATCCAAGGTTTGGGTTGTTTGCTTTTTAATTTGAAAAGGACTATAAAATGAGCCTTGAAAGGCACAAAGAACAATTCCAACCTGTCTGTCAAACACTCTGGCCATTTCCAGCACGCCTTTGCCGAACTGAAAGAGGACACGACACAAATTATGTATGTTCTTTCATGTCCTCCACGGAAAAACCTGAGGTGCAGATGGAGTGACTTACCTCATTTTTCACACTTGCATCTGCCCCCCTGTCGAGCAGTAACTGGACTAGCTCTTCATGATTATTTAACGCGGCCACCTGAAACATAGAAGGCAGTGGGGGGCAGTAAGGCTGCGGAGGGCCCAGGAGCAGCCAGGGCGTGCCCCGTGCAGGCACGTCGGGCAGCACGCAGGGCCACCACGGGGCGGGAGGTACTCTCACGGCAGCCAGTTTAGCTGCAAGGCCGGGCACAGTGCAATCTGCCTCTCCCTGCACTACAGAAAGCGGCACACGCTTTGCTCTCACGGATCTGTTCTGATATTGCAATGGCCCTGGGGACTGGGGCTGGTAATCCTTAAAGATGTCGTTGTAAAATATGATAGTGGCATTGTCACCCCTTTGTTAACAGGCCGATGGAGAATAGATAGGCAACCAAAACCCGGGGCTCGTACTGGGTGCATTCACACTGAACTCACAGGAATTGCCTAATTATAGAAGCTCTGACTTTAATTCTACCGGTAAAGCCAGACTGCTTCCTGAAGAACAGCATACCATTAGAGGGGTCTTTCCATCTTTATCCTTGGCGTTCACATCTGCCCCCGCTTCAATCAGCAGAGAGGCTACCCTCCGGCTTCCTGAGACTGCAGAGACTCTCATGAGCGGGGTCCATCCTGAGCCAGCATCCACGGCGTCTACCTGTGACGCCCAAGGAGGAACTGCTCTTAGTCCAGGTTCCTTTCTTTGAAAGGATTCATCAGAAACTTATAAAGAATGTTCACTTGCCCACATTCCCCTGATTTAGATAGCAGTCTTTCTAGCCTCGGTGAGAGGTGACTAGCCTGTGCTGTAATTGAATTCCCATGTATCTGCGGTGAGAGCTGTGTGCACATCCCTTCAGGAGGTGCTGAGACCCAGGGCTTCTAGGGGCATCTCTGTCCACATTGTGTTCAAATGCAGAAAAGATGGGAAAGAAAAATGAATGGGACCTCGTCTCCTTACCTTACCAAGTCCACATGGGCCCCTACTTCATTTTCTCTCAACTAACTTTTCTCACCTGTTTTTTTAATAAAGCTCATTTTGCTAACTTTTAAGCATCTTTGTAAGCAGTTTTAAATCTTTAGACAGTAATATATACAGACACACTTATACTCATCAACTCATATTAATTTTAAGCTGGAGACTTACAGGTGGGATAAATACAAAGCAACCAGATATTTTCCATGAATTCCAATCTGAAAAATGAGCCGACCTAATGCTTTCTCTAATCGTACTTTGCTTGATAATAAGATGGCTATTTCCCAGTAATCTTAACAACTGAGATCTCTCAATATGTTTTAAAAGACATATTTTAGAATAAGAAAGTATAAATGTTGCCTTCTTCAATTCCACTGAAGGCCTCATCTATCCATGAAGAATGACACTGAAGTAAACATATATATGTGTGTGTGCAGGCGCACACCTAATTCTGTTACAGAATTACTCAAAGATATCTGTAGCGTTAATAAAACATCACAACGGAATAACAAACAGAACCGCCCATAGGTCCCTGCGACATTTCAGGTCATTTGTATGTATGAGATTATCTGCAGCAAACTGTTAGGATCTGCAGCTCTCCCTCGTGCAGATAGCAACCTCTGGGCAGCAAGCTCCATTATAATTAAATAGTAATCAAATAATCGCCTTATGTCACATGGTGCTTCAGATGGTTTCCAACACACTCTCATGCACATTTTCTCTTTTGGCCCTGAGGGTTAAGCCAGGGTAGGTGGTTTCATTCCCGGTTTACAAATGATTAAACCAAATCTCAGAGAAGTCATATGCCTGAGTCCACGTGGTTCATGAAATGTAGAAATGGTTTCCCATGCAAGTCAGTCACTCTCAGCATAAAATCATTATACTTAAGAAGAGAGTGGCTGCAACACCCTGCCTGGCTCCCGAGTCCCTCCAACAGTCTTCCACAGCAGGCAAAACCATCTGCCACAGAGCATGGAGGGCTCGTGTGGACACCAGTGATCCACTGTCCACCAGCCACATAGGCATTTGTGGTACGACACACTCATGTAGCTGCAGTGCTACAGAAGAAGATGGAATTTACCCCCAAATAAGCATGTTCCTATCTGAAAGCCAGAGAGCCTCTGTTTCCAAAATTATAGTATTTATATGTCCATGGCAGAGACCTGCCCTTCTTTCAGCAAAGGTCAAGCTTCATTTGCAACTACAGACTTTGGGTCCAGAGTATGATTGGAGTTCAGCACAAACCAAAAGGGGGATGTGGCTTTCACCCTCACACAAGGCAGGGGAGCCCCAGGTTACCACTGAGACCCACGTGTTAATCGTCTAATCTCCATGCATGCTTCTAAAACTAAAACAGCAATAAATGTAAAAAGGACCGAGTTTCTCCTTTGAGGGGGCCTTCTCTCAGACCCCCAAGAAGAGCAACAAGAGCCAGTGAAATCCCAGGGCATAGCCCTGGGTGCCTCAGTCACCCTTCAGAGATGAGCTAGAACATTCACTAGCAACTGCCAGGAGACATGACTTTTCTCAAGTTGTGTTTATTTTCCAGGTCATGTTAATTCCTCAGCCCTCTGCACCATCTGGCACTCAAAATTAGGGCAGCATTTTGTTTATCATTCCTTATTTCCATGCTTTGGAATTTTTATTTAACTTCTTTCAAGTCCTGAACTGTAGTTTTCAAAGTTATCAGCAGTTACTGTAATTGAGCTAATTTGGTTTATCCAACTTCAAAATATCAATAGAAGGCCAGACAACTCCAATTCTACTTTGCTAAGTCAAATTTGTGCTTTCTGATAACATGAAACCAAAAGCAGACCAACATGCCTGCTTCAAGGCAGACACAATGAGCTGAAATGCTCTATTCATGATACAGTCAGTCTGCTCTTTGGAAATTTTTTGTAATGACTAATCTTTAAAGCAAACCAAGAATAAAAATAACCTCATTCTAAGAGCAACAAGAAGCATGGTGGCTAGGAGAGTTCTCAACAGTTTTGTGTCTCTTGAACCTAAGACAGTGTCTGGTACCTGGTAGGTGCTCAATAAAGCTTTGTTGATAGATTGAATGAAGAGAGAAATGAATGAATGAGCAAAGGAATAAATAAAGTAGAAAAGGCATCAGGTCCAGCCCCAGATTCAGCACTGTTTCTTCTTTCCTATGCAAGGTGAGCCCCCATGACAATCTGAAACCTCACCATCACATCAGTTCTATAAAGACCTTTTTTCCCAGGGCTTCAGGGACTTCTTGCTGATCAGTCAGAGGACTTTCTCCACTGTTTCTGAGTTCAGCTAATCAAAGGCATCCATGTAAGATGCTGCTTCTCCTCAACCCTGTGGAATAGCATTTCAGGTTCTTAACAATATGGGCATAGCTGAAGATCCCGTACCTCACAGCCATCCTTTATCATCCACTCAATCACGTTGCAGTGGCCTCCGTCTGCAGCCCAGTGCAGAGCTGTACAGCCTCCTAGGTCTCTAGTCTCCCAGGAAGCACCGTGTCTTCGGAGATACTTTACAACATCCAAGTGTCCTGCATAGCAAGCAAGCATCAGACTGCAACATATGGAAGAGGGGGCATTAGCTGTAAGTATGGTCGCCATGCTCAGGTGCACACTTTACACTACCTGGCACAAACTAAGAAACTCTCATTTGTGTGGAAAAGCCATGAAAATTATCCATGGATATATAAAATGCTATGTGTCCATCAACTGACGAATGGATAGGCAAAATGTGGCATATCCATGCAATGGAATATTATCCAGCCATAAGGAGGAAATGAGGCATTGACACACGCTACACGGATGAACCTTAAAACGCTATGCTAGATAAAAGAAGCCAGACACAAAAGACCACATATTTTATGATTCCCTTTATATGAAATGGTCAGAAAGGGCCAGTCCATAGAGACAGAACAGATTAAGGGTTGCCAGGGACTGGTGGCAGGGAATGAGTGACTGGTATAGGGCTCCTTTCTAGGCGGATGAAAATGTGCTGGGATTAGACAGTAGTTGTAATTGCACAACCTTTGTTAATATATTAAAAATACTGAATTGTACATTTTAAAGGAGTGAATTTTATATCGCCAAAAAAATGAATCACTGTAATTATTAGGTATTGGACTTAAGAACATCTTGAGTCCATAATGATACTCAGAAGAGAGAGGGATAGAGGAACAGTCACCCGACACACAGAGATAACTATTAGGCCAATTCCATTCTCTAAATATCAGCATTTAAAGAAAATAAGTAGGCATTTACTCTGCCTTTAAAGGATGAGATGTAGTCCATCCCTAGTTGATGAGGGGAGGTCTTTTTTACAGAAGGCTGCCAGCTAATAAATATAAAGGGAATCACGGAATCAGAAAGCCACTCTGCAACTCCCACTTAAGTGACTGATTCAGGCAAGGGTCATCAGGGGACGCTAAGATCATTGGATGGAAGGTTGATGGAGAACAGGATAGTCACACTGTACCTACAGAATTACTACCCCATAGCTTATTTTCTAATTGCAATGGGAAGCTACACCTTTGCAAAGGAGAGCTTTAGCTGTGACACCCCAACCACATGATCAAACCTAGAACCACTGTGGGACAACCTGCACACGGGCCCGACAGATCCAGTGTAAAGTCACACCACTGGCTCTGAAGTGTTCTTCCTAAAAACGTTGACTGGAACCTAATCAAGCCTTTAAAGCTAATTTTAACTTTATTGGAAACAAACGGATGAATGAACAAGTTAACTATCTCCTCCACAATTAGGAGATAATTAGGCGAGTCAAGAATACAGGACATCTATAGGAGAATTGGTCTGGGCGCCTCAAAACATCACTGCTTTGAGAAAGCTTAAAAGATAAAACAGAGGACCAGTCTAGAATAAAAGAGACTAGAGACACAAGCACCCAGTGCGATGTGCAATGTGTGAGCCTTGGCTGGATCACGGTCTCACCCCACACCCCCAAACAAAGCTAGGAGGACCTTTTGGAGGACAAGTGGGGAGACATGCATGGGTGGCTGGAGCATCAGAGGTATCAGAGATTAGAGTGAAATGTCTTAGATGTAATAATGACATGGTGGTTACACAGGTGGATGTCCTGGTTTTTAGGAGACACATACTGAAGTATTGAGGGGTGGAGGGTTATAATGCCTACTAATTTCTTTGAAATAAACCCAAAATAAAAGCTTATGAAAACATAGAGAAGCAAATAGGGCAAAATGTCAACCACTTCCAAAACCAGGTGGATTATAGCACAGAGACGTGCATTGTACTATTCTTTCAAACTTTTCTAAATGTTTGAAATTTTCAAAAAAAAGAGATGGAGGTGAAACAGGAAGGTCATCCCAATAGGGAAGTTCTACGAAGTCTCTGAGGGACAGGGAACAGGCAGCCTTGAGGCGCAAGCCCAGGCTGGTCTGGAACGGGACTGATGTCTGCCCCCTTGCATCCTTATGCCTGCCTTCCTTTCTTGGAGACGCCCAGAAGAGAGCCCCTCGGCCCTTCACCCACCCAAGGTTTAAGGCGCTGCATTTGAGCACGTTACCAAGTGCCCAGTGCAAATGGTTAAGGCTTGCATTTGATTCACACTGCCAAAATGCTTTCCAGAAAGGTGGCTTCAATTTACATGTCCAGCAGCTTCATCTGAAAGTGCCCATTTTATTCATCTATACCAACACTACTACCATTTCTAATTCACAATATGATGGGTGGAAAATTTTATTTATTTTATTACTAGTAAGACTAAACAATTTTCCAATTGATTTTTAAGTTTATTCTGAAATGAATTCTCTTTTGTGTTAAACTGCTCTTTTTTATTCTGTGTGTGGTTTTCCAAGGGTATGTGTATCTTTTATATCTTAAAGATGCCAGTCACTTGTCTCTAAGGTTTGCAAATATTTCTCCAGATGGTCCTTTGTAATTAAGGTTTTTTAACACATATAAAGGTACTCAATCTTTCCTTAGTGATTTCTTTCAATGCTTTGTCTTTCCCATTATAAGATCAGTCATTTTCTATGGTTTTGTTTTTACATTTAATTCTTAATTCATCTGGAAAGTATTGTGATGTTTGCTACACAGCTAAGATTTAATTTTTTTCTTCAAATAGCCTATTTTCTTAACATTTTCCTCATTGGTTTGTGTCGCTCCCATCATCATAAATTCAGTTCTTATGGACATGGGGGTCTATTTTGGGATTTCTACTCCACTCGATGTATCATTTTTCCAATTATACCAGTATCATACTACTTTAATTACTATAACTTTATAAGGCATTTTAATTACTGTCAAGGCAGGTCTTTCCATACTCTTCTTTGGCAAAGTTTTATTGGCTATTATCATCTATGTGTTCTTCCAGATAATTACAAAATCATTTTGACAGGTTCCCAAGAATAATTCCATTTGAGGTCACAAAGAACCTATACATTAATTTAAGAAAAACTGAAAAAGAAAAAAATTGAACAATATTCAATCTTGCCATTCGGCTTGTGGTATATGTCCTTATTTTTTTAAGTTAGTGTGTTTTATTGTCAAACCTCTAAAAGCAGGTAACATTGACTGAGCCATGATTTATCACTCATGCACACAACTGCCTTTATGGTAACAACAGTTCTATTTGGAATTGATTTTTTTTTTTAGTTATAATTGAATTATAGTTGACATATAATATTGGTTTCAGGCACACAACAGATATTCAACAATTAAATATCATACAGAATGTTCAGCGCAGTAACTGTAGTTACCATGTGCCCCCAGACAGAGATATTGCAATACTATTGACTATATTCCCCAGGCTGTACCTTTCATCTCTGGGACTATTTGTAACTACAGATTTCTACCTCTTGATCCCCTTCACCTGTTTCACCTATTTTTTAAATCTGCCTCTCTCAATTATTTTTATAGAAATTTCTTACTTTTCTTAGATATTTTATTTTTATTGTGTCCCACCTTATCTTTTATCGTGTCCTGCATTATCTTTTATTGTGTCCCGCATCATCTTTATTAACTCTATTGCTGGTAAAGAACAATTTTTTCTTTACTCTATAGCCGGCCACTTTACTGAGCCTCCTTATTCAGCCCAAGTATTTGAAAGCTGATTCTCTCGGGTTCTGCGGGACAGGAGCCATGCCTCGTCGTTTCGCATCTCACTGGAGTTAACTAGCCCTCCAAAGTACTGATCGTGAAATAACATGTAGAAACAGATTCATACTTACAGAGAACAAACTGGTGGTTGCCAGAGGGGAGGTGGGTGGGGAGATAGGCACATAGGTGAAGGGGATCAAGAAGAACAAACTTACAGTCATAACATAAATAGTCCCACAGATGAAAGGTACAGCCTGGGGAAATAGTCCAATAGTATTGTAATAACTTGGTATGGTGACAGAGGATAATTATACTTACCATGGTATTTTTTAGTGTGTATATAAATGCCACATCACTATGTTGTACACTTGAAACTAATGTAATAGTATGTCAACTGTACATGTTTTTAATTTAAATATATATATATATATATATATATATATATATATATATACACACATATAAACTTGTAGTTAACCATATGCCAGGCATGTTTATGCATTCTTCATATATTGACCCATTAAGTGCTCACAATCCTGTAAGTACTTCTATTATCCTTATTTTACAGTTGGGGAAATTGAGGTACAGAGAGGTTAAGTAACCTGCCCAAGGTTATACATCCTGTCCATAGAGGAATCAGGATGTGACATCAAGCTATCTAGCTCTCAGCCACTTTCAAGGGCTTCACTACTAATTTTTAAAAGGAATCTGTCAACACTAAGAATAATACTGCTGATAATGAGACGATAAACAACTTTGTCCGATGCAGTCACAAAGGGTTCACTTGTTCAGCAGAAGCCGGTCATCCCATGTGCCACACACTGTACCCGGGCTGAAAGCATCCTGCACTTTAAAAAATAGGATACTTTTTTAACTTGCAATGGTGCTGAGTTACACCAAATTTTTGTTTTGCGTATATACATACATAGGCTTTTCACGTGTAGTCTACCAATAGGAAGTGTCGCATAAGAAATTTCCTAACCTAGACACCCTTACCCCCTGCATGACCCTCTTAGTTGGGATAGAAGAGATGTACAAATACCTACACGCATATGAACATACAAGGAGCTTCTTTCTCTCACTACACAGTCATCCTTCGCAGCCTTATAGCTTCCTCTCTGCTCTGGAAAAGTTCAAGGTAAAATCTGAAGGAGCCCATTGGTAGAACAGTCAAGCCACAGAACTTATATTGGAGGTAATCCTTCAATAAATCTTCTAATTTCTTATATGGATATTGGTTATTTCAGATTTTCTGTATCTTGAGTTGATTTTGGTGATGTAAATTCTCTCAGAAAAAGTGCCTGTTTCCATGAAATTGTCAAACGCACCATTTTCTTTTCACGCTTAAATTTCCTCTGTAACTGTTACACGCACTTTCAGCTTCTATTTTCTCTTAGATTCACAGTAGGAGGCAGCTCTTGCATTTTAAAATTTTTTTATTTTATAATTTCTACTTTTAAGTCTTCCTTCTTTCTTACCTCTCAAGGATTTTTTTTCTTTTCCCTTTTAAATTGGTACTACTTTTTTTTCAAACTTCTTGAGTTGATGGCTTTGTTCCACACTAACCTGACAGTTATTTGGAAAACTACTTCTTAAATTTATGAGGGCTTTTTAAATGTTGTCACTTAAAAACTTTGACTATACTGTGTCCAGAGAATGCAGTAGGTGGGCCTTCTAACATCAGAAATCGACGCTTCCTTTGTGGTTCACCGTATATCTGATGAGTGTTTCATAAATACTAGTTTTCAGCTCACAAACCTTGGGTCTGTAGATATTTTGGGCCTATAAGCTCCTTCAGTGAAGGCTTGGCATTTTGTCACTATTCTTCCCAAGCACCAAGCACAGAGCCTCGCTTGTGGTGGTCATTCAGTAAATATTGGTCCGTTTGAATTAACTTGTTATGTAAACCTAATTACTAGACTTGTGATTATTTTTAAGTCTTCCTGAAACATTCTTCCATCTCTGTAAGTATAGGTTTCCAAGTATCGTGCTCTTTTCCTAAACGGCTATAATGCTCTGGAGTCCTTTCACCTTAGGGGACTTTCTTGGGTCGTCTCTGCGGCTGTGATTTGCTGTTTGTGCCTCTGGGAACAGTTAGTTAACAGAGTAAGGTGACACACAAGGGAGCCCTGAGGGAGTCACCGGGTGCGACAGGCACCGACTACCAAATGCCCAGCGCAGAGCTGGCACTGCTTCAATAGCTACCATTCACTGAGCACTTAGCGGCAGCTGGGCGCTAGGAGGGCATCTGCATTGTAACAGAAAGTCCATGAATACCTACAAAAGCCCACTTTCATCATCACCAACTTCCCTGGAAGTTCTGCACCTCTCAGTACTGTGAAGAGAGACTAGATTGACTCTGGGTAAAATCCAAAACCCCAGGGCACAAGCCTCATCACACAGTGCAGGGACATTTTAGGGCATATTCCACAGCCTACCTGTCCTTGCCACTTCCATTCTTCAGATTCACATCTGTGCCATTGGAAACGAGGATCTTCACAAGCCTACAGGACACAGATTTAAATTAACTGTTTAAGTGGCTTTGAAGAGGAGGCGCCAGCAATCATCCAGTAACAACAAACGCTGTATTTAAGACACATCTTCCCAACACTTTCTTCTCCATCTTCTGAGGCCGGCTGGCTTTAAAGGCAGAACAGGCTTTAAAAGGCTTTAAACAGACCCAGGAACTCCACTCCGAGGAATTTACCCAAAGAAACAACTTCTCAGATTCAAAAAGACAGATGCACCCCTATGTTTATCGCAGCACTATTTACAATAGCCAAGATAGGGAAGCAACCTAAGTGTCCATCAGTAGATGAATGGATAAAGAAGATGCGGTACATACACACAATAGAATATTATTCAGCCATAAGAAGAAAACAAATCCTACCATTTGCAGCACGGATGGAGCCAGAGGGTATTATGCTCAGTGAAATAAGTCAGGCAAAGAAAGACAAATACCAAATGATTTCTCTCATTTGTGGAGTGTAACAACAAAACAAAACTGAAGGAAAAAAATAGTAGCCAACTCAGAGACTCCAAGAAGGGACTAGTGGTTACCAAAGGGGAGGGGTGAGTGAGGGCAGGTGGGGAGGGAGGGAGAAGGGGATTGTGGGGTATCGTGATTGGTGCACATGGTGTATGTGGGGTCATGGGGAAGACAATGTAGCTCAGAGAAGACAAATAGGGACTCTGTGGCATCTTACTACACTGATGGACAGTGACTGCAATGGGGTATGGGGGGGACTCGATAATAAGGGCGAATGTAATAACCACATTGTTTTTCTTGTGAAAACTTCATGAGTATATATCAATGATACCTTAATAAAAATAATTTTTTTAATTAAAAATAAAAATAAATAAATAAAAGGCTTTAAACACCCAAAATGGGTGTTTACCCCTAACATGAATTATTCATTGAAACTACCACAGGAAACAAATTAGACTATTAAAATAGTGCACTGTCACTCTATGACCATTTTAAATATATTTTTCAAATGGCGGCATCTAACGAAAATACATTTCTATCATTTAAAAACGGCATTTTAGTAGTTAAATAAAAATCTTCTGGGAAAATTAGCTATTAGTACTTATGCTTCTATGTGGAATAGAGATAATGAGCTGTATCAATTATACAAGAACACAGTATCTTAGCGACCTATCAGGAAAGTTTGTTTTTCCAGAATTAAGATCCCTCCCCCCTTTCTTTTTTTAAAAGAAATTCAAATTCCAATGACCGCTTTTCCCAGGACATATAAAATATACTGAGAAACATAATTAAACAGCGACCTCTCTTCCTCACCCTATAATTATACATTTTTGCATTCTCTCCTGCACATTGTATAACTTTATGATAAAAACAGCCGAGTTTTTGTTCAGCCCTCATACGTGCAGTTTGGAAAGAGAAGCAGGGTTCCTGAAAGCCCTTTTCCCTCCCCTCCCTGTCCTGACAGGAGCCTGGGCTGAAGCGGAAGGTCCAAGGGTTCACTCAGAGCCGCAGGGAAGGAGGAGCCCTACCTGGTGTATCCTTTCTGGGCAGCGACCATCAGAGCCGTGAAGCCAAACTTATTGGGAACATCAACCTTAACATTTCTTGGGCAAAAAACACAGAGAACCGAGGTTAACACACTGGGCAGGGCTGCCTGTGGGTCCGCGGCTGACTTCCCGTGCAGGGCACAGGCGGCCGAGGTGGTTCATCTTCCCTGAAACTCCAACTTTTAAGTTTTTGCTGTCTTGAGACTGCCCTGCCTAATATTTTAAAGGATTCAAATTCACAAGAAAGAAGAGAAAATTGCTGTAATTTCACTTAAAGTAGGCATTCTCTTCAACTCAAAAGCATTATGCGATCTGATAAAACACTGTGAAGAGAAAAGCTCCTTAAATCAGGGCAGGGCAGGGTCTTCACTGCAGACCCTCAGCTCCACAGAAACGGCCTCGAGTGGTGCAGAGCCACGTGCTGCCTGGATTTCCATCTCACCCACCGGGCACGAAGCGCCAGAGCTGGAGGAAGGAAGCAGAGCTCTGAAATGGCAGATCAGAGACCTCAGCTTTTAGTGGGAACCTTCTCTCTCCTCCGACCTAGGGAGCCCAGTTCACAGGTGCCTTGTCTACTAAGGCACCCGGAGTACTGATTCAAAGGATCCGGACATCACTGTCCATCGCTCATTCAGGAGGCAGCTTCAAACATCCCATCTGCAGCAACTGTACTCGCCATCTTTCCTCTAGGGTCTTGGCAGCCTTTGGAATTAGAAACAGCTGACTTAGTGATCCCTTAACTTCTTCAGGAATTAGATGCGGGTAGTTGGTGGTGAAATTTGCCTGAATGCTATGGCACATAAGCGAGAGTCAAATCATTTCTGGGAAGAAAATATGATACCCAGACTTATAATTTCCACTTTCAATTTTCAGTGAATAATTACAAAATATAACATTCACATCGGGCTTTATGGCCACCTTTATTAACTATGCTGAACTCACACCAGTTACCTGAGAACTATTTGGGGGCCAGTTTCAAAGACATGGCAAATTTTGGGAAAATACAGCCTCATCTTGCACTCCTATGCACTCGCTGGGCATTACAGATAAACAAAGCTTAAAGGGCCGAGTTCTCTCACCCTCCTTGAAGTATGTGAACCAGCAAATCTTCATCGTTCACACTGACAGCTTGATGAAAGTGCTCACTACTTATGGGTTCTCCTGAAGAAGCAAGATAGAAAGTAGTCATCCAAATTATAAATGAAAGAAGACTCCCTCCAGCTATACTCCTGTGCCGCCTTGCGTGGAAGTTCACGTTCATCATCTCCAAGAAGACCCTTGGCTATGTCGCTAAGCAGATCTCACATTTCCTATTCAGCTCCTTCTTGTCCTGAAACAGACCTTGTTTTCACATATTAAGAGAAGAACATTTCGATTGTCCTAAAGGCTTGGGACATTTTCAAGTTATAAAAGTATTGCTCTGTGAATGTTGCTTTGATATTTGAAAATAATCCTTTCAGATTTCATAAGATGTAATAAATCTCTTACAAGCAAGGAAAATCACAACACGCTAGATTTGTTTGCCAGACACTCACTGAACCACTTGAACAACAAACAAGAAAACAGACAGATCGCTTTAACATTTGAAAACCAAAATTTCAGTTCTTCCCGGGAATGTAAGATTCATACTGACCTCGTCTCCTCTGAGTTTCTGGGAGCAGAAGGGGCTCATGCCCAGGGAAGCGGCACCATGTGAGAAAGCCCCGTTGTGGGAGAGAGGCTGCCTAGGGGAGAAGAGCAAGGAGGGGCCTGGGAAAACAGAGAAACACCAGCAAGTGGGGCAGAAAGGAGGTCATCCCCTTGTACAGGGGAACACCAGCTCCTGCAGGAAGACAATGCGGCAGAAGCTCAAACATGGGCAGAGTGTGAGACTAATGTGCCAAGTGAGAGAAGCCCATCTTCCAAAGCATGTAGCCCATGACTTCATGTGTTTCACTTTCCATGACTTCCTCGTTTTTAGAATGATCACAATTAAGCTTAAATGAAATAATACCAGTGAAGGACTTAGAGTAGCACCTGGTACATCATAAATATCCAACACACGTCTGTAGTTGACGTGATAGTAATGGTAGGGGCAGCTGCCTTTCCATGTGGCCCTGGTGTTCTCACCTGCCCCTCCTTATGCTTAGCACACCTACCTGACCCCATAGGCACTGAGTTTATAATCCCTGGTTTCAGTAATTTCAGAGGTCTCATTCATTCATTCAACAAATGTTTAAGTAACTTACACATCAGGTCTTGACCCTTGGGGGTGCCAAGAGGAAATGAGACAAACATGTCCCTCTCCCTTGCCCGTTGACATTATAGGGCCCTCATTCCATCTATTATTATTCTAAACCCTAGAAGAAAACATCTGCCCCCTACCCCATCCTCCCAGGCTGCACCCCAGATGGCCTCCTGGCACTCGCCCCTCACATTACCTCCCTCTTACAAGCTGGCCTGCAGAAGCCCGCTGGCCATCTCTGCCAAGGAGAAGTCAAGTTCCCTATTCCTGCTCCCGATGGTGGAAAAACTCTCTGGGACCCCAGTTCTGGGGTACAGGAGCCACTTTTCTACTGGTTTCCCTGGAGGGTCTCTGCTGGACACAGCACTGAGAGGGAGCAGTGGGCAGCAGAATGAAGGGCCGCTCTCAGAATGACCCTTAGCCGATAACATCTCTCCTCTTCTGGTAAAAATAAATCCAAGCCAAGTTACAACTGTTTTGGATGTAACAGTTTTGTCTGCTGGAGCTTGCCAATCTGCTAAAGATTTTTTATCCACATTGTATTTTCCTTTTCATCATTCCACACATATTTTTAGACCGAAAGTGTCAAATAAAAGTATCATGATAAACTGTCAAAGGGAAAGCCCACCACAGCTCCTGGCCTTCCGAGGGAGATCACGCCTGGCCTGGTGGTTTCGCTAGGGAGCTACGGAAGCGGCCGGGTTTGGCCCCCCCAAGAGGACATTTCATAAAGTCTGACAACATTTTCGGTTGTCACAACTTAAGCGTCGGTGCTACTGGCATCTAGTGCGTAGAAGCCAGGGATGGCGATAAACACCCTGCAGTGCATAGGACACCCACAAAAGCAAGAATGATCCAGCCCTAAAATGTTAATAGTGCCAAGGGCTGAGAAACGCTGGGCTAGAGTAACATGAACTTAAAATGATCTATTAGGTGACCCATCCATACTCCAGCAGACAAACTGAACCCATGGAAAGCTCCCCTTCCCTCTTGCGTCCCAGAAAGGAGGGGAAGAGCAGTGTGGTGGTCTCTGTTATCCCACCCAACAGCCTCCACCCTCTTTCTGTGGCTCTCAAACATCAACTGCCACTAAACATTTTTTTAATGTAATTTGCATAGAATCATCTAGAAGAACATAGGAACGTCATCTTATTTCTACTAAATTTTAAAATATGGCATCCTAACTCAAATCCTATTAATTAGGTTGGATCTAGGACTTTACAGAGTGAATTTTAGATTCTCTTCAGACCACAAAACAGAGCCAGAAAGAATGAGTTGCCCAAGGTCACCTGTATGGGAGAGGGCGACATCAGGGCTCAGAGGAGGGTCCTTCATAGGGTCACACCCTTTCCTTTGGTGTTTTAGTACATGCCGAGGAAGCTGCCCCATTCACAACCTGCTTCTATCCTTACTAAATGTAGGATACAAGCAGACACCATACATTCAGTCCCCCCACAAAGCATGAAATGAAAGGGACTGCCAAAAGCCTAAAAACTGTAGAGAAGTACTAACCTCTTGAGATCTTTCAAGAAAATTCTAGAAGCACACACAGAATCCTGACACATCTACGCACTGACCCCTCCAATCCACCTCATCCATCTTCCCTGACTGGCTTGACCCTCCTGGCGTGAGGGGCCCTTTCTGGTGCCTCCACCATGGAGGCTCTGCAGCACGCGAACACCAGAAAACAGAGTAAGTTCATTGTGTGCTTAGAAGCTTGAGGACTGTGCACAGCAAAGGCCAGAGTATTTTGATATTAGGATATAATTTAAGTAAATGTATTGCCTCTTCCAGTTTCTACAAGAGGAATCCAGTGCTGTCACAACTCACTCTGAGAACACAGGGACACCTCACGGAAGAGGGAGACAATATAATTGTTCATCATTCCTTGCTTGCTGAGCTTTAGCAAAGGAAGCAGTAACTATCATTCTGGGCATGCAAGCTCTTTCTCAGCGTTAACCCATTAACCCTTCCTAGGCCAGTGCCAGGAAGGCAAAAGGTGCTGAGGATTACCACCAGACCAGACACGGGTCAACTGAGGCACGGGAGAACCTCTCACATTTTCCATGAATTTGACAGAAACAGAGAAGAAATGAAACGCCTCGTGCTTGCAGTGCAGAGCAGTTCTATTTCGCTACAGGCAGGAGTCACGAAGGACAGAGAGGAAAGCCCAGGATGAGCCGAATGCTCCACCTCCCACCCCAAACCCTTCAAGACATGGTGGGCCCGGCCCAGGGGATCACCGTCAGTAAGTGCAGTTGAATATAAAAGAGGCGGCTTTGCCTCCATGGGTTTTTCTAATGTTTATCCCAAGTATTGCAATTACAGATATGGATCCTGTGTGTGGAGAGGGGGTCCACGGCGCTGGCCCCCACTGGCTGGAACTCATCAGGCAGGGCCACGTGTGCGGACGCCTAGGAGGAGAAGGGCGCAGCAGTCTTGGGAAGCCATCGCTCCTGTTCTGGAAGAGGGTCATTTAGGGGCAGATGTGCCAGCAGATTATTATAACGTGGTGAAAACCCCTTTCTTGGTGGAGTTTAAATCTCTATTAAAAGCACTGAATAAATGATGAGCTCATTGGAAAAGATATTTTCCAATTAACAGCAGCAGCTGTTTTTCCTTTTTAAGGCCCGACTGATTAAAATTGCATGCCTCATTTAAGCAAGAGTTTCGTGTACTTTACCTGGAAAAAAGGAGGCTGAGCATCCTTTATTCAAACAAAGTACATGGTTTTGTGATTCATTAAAACACTTTCAAACTGAATGCAAATTATCAACCCACAGAAGCATTTTCACTTGTTTTATATAATGTGCACATTTTGAATTCTTTGTTTAGCAGCGTCTGCCTCTTTAAGAGAGTTTGCTTTCGAAGTTGTAAATGTAACAATAGCAGAAGGAGCAGCAGCTCCCCAGGAGGAGGAGCCCAGGAGAGCCCTGACCGGGAGCTGTGGGCCTAGGACTTGCACTGTGGCCTGACGGGAGATGCTCCGGAAGCCCCAGCACAGCTGGTCAGCCGGAGACCAGGCCTCCATCATGCCCTCGTCCCTGCAGGTCTTGTCCAATCACCCATGGAAGCCATGGACTGCAGTGACAAATGCCTTGGACGCTGGACCTCTCAGACCAGCTGAGCAAGGACAAGGCACACGGAGCCACAGGCACAACCCGCAGCAGCTGCCGGCCGCGACGGTCCCCGCCTTCCTGAAGAGCTCCGGTGTGGTCCCTCCACGTCAGCTCTGGCCAGAGTTCGGGAGCCCCGCCCTGGCTTTGATGTGGTATTAGGGATGCCAGTGGCTATCTGAGGCTTACTGTGGTGGCTTCTGCACCCAGCTTACCCTCACCCTGCAGGTTCAGGCTCACTCCCTCCACCTGGGAAATAGATCCATCTCCCATCAGACACAGGAGTAAACTGAGAAAAAGCAGTGCTTCTCCTTATCCTCTTAATCCTGCTTCTGAGCCTTCTCATTCGCCACACGTCCACCCACTTGCAAAGGACCTTCTACATGCTGGACAGAAGTGACCCCCCATCATCCTTTCCCTCCAGAGCATACAAGTAGGTGGGGGACAAAGACGTTAAACACCTTCATAAAATAAGTTGCAAGAAGTGTTAGTACCTCGTGTATCAGGCGACAAGCTGACACGCACGGCAGAGAGGGGAAGCCGTGCAGGGACCCGCCCCTGAACAGCAGGCTCAGTAGGCAGAGGGGCAGGAGTACCTCAGAGAGAAGGGGCAGGACAGAGGGGTGCAGAGCAGCATGTGTGGGTGGGGGCAGCAGGGCAGGCCCTCTCTGCCTTTCTTCCACACATAAACAACTAACTCATGTTCTGTTCGCCTGCTTTCTGTTCTTTCCCTTTGAAATTCCAGGAGCTTAGTAACTTCCATAAGAAAAACAAACGCTGTCACTGTCACCGGATTAAGGGACAAGCCCTCTTTCCTGACCTGCATCTCCATAACTGACCGTTTCACTTCAGAAGTTTCCTCTGAAATTGTATTTCTTGGTGGCTAGCTAATCACTTTGGGGCTGTATGCAGTGTGGCTACTCTCAGTTTGCTGAACTAAGATCCGATCCCCTAATGCCTTGTTTGCAACTGAAAATATTATAAGATAACTCAAAATCTGAATTATCTTTAATCCACACAAAAACTTCCATGAATAAATGCATTAAGGGCAAAATTGAAAGCCACAGAAAGTATATGCATGTATATATGTATGCATATGTGTGTGTGTATATATATATATATGTATATATACACATACACTGTGCACACATGTACTAAATGCTGCATTGAATAAAATTTTTAAGTAATTTTTTACTCACAAAAAAAAACCCTTGAACAACCAACGAGAGACTCATCTGTTTTCAGTGAGTCAGTCATGAAGACCATTTATGACGATTTTAATCTTTACAGCTTTCTGGTTCAAAGACAGCACTGGGTAAACACACGTCTTTAGAATGTTTTAAAATACAGATCACAGAAAATCTTTGCCCCCTTAAATCTGACCAGGGAGCAGGATGCACTGGCCAGAGGCTCCAAGGCCAGCCTCTTGGCCCCGCTGCTGTGGGTGGGGGCTGGGCCATTTGTCCTTCCGCCCTCCCAGCGTCCCCAAGAGTCACATTGCATGTCAGGGTGCGTACAATGAAGTCGCCCCAGAGGAACAAAATGCTGAGCAGCCCCGGTCCCCTGAGGACACCCACACAGGCAGCCAGTGCTCCGGGTGGGAAGGCTCGCTCAGCCACATGCTGGCCTGTGCACCGAACAGGCACGTGAGGGCAGGGCCAGCCCAAGCACAGCTCTCCCCATTTGGTACAGCGCCGCCGGACAAGGCAAAGGGCAGATATGTCTACCTCCCCATTGCTGTCCCGTTATTTCATCTTCAGATAAGTGAGTTCAGAGTCTTTGCATACTCACTGGTTGTAGACACGGAGACCACTGGGCTGTACTCATACTCTCCTGAGGGGCTGGTGACCTTCAGCCTAAATCTGTACAGTGTCCGTGGTTCCAAGCCTTCCACGACGTGCTTTGTCGCATATCCCCTGGGTGGGAGGAGATGTGCATGAGCGCTACACCGGGTCTTGGGATCAGCGGTCCCTGAAAGCTGTTAGAAGCCCAGGAGCAGGTGATGTCTGAACGCCATCTGCCTTCACCACAGCCCTGACGGGGGCCGGTGTCCATCTCTCACACTAGTCCGTGACCGCCTTGAGCATAAAGGACATCACGCCTCCACCCCCAACCAGCAGGGGCCCTGCCTCATCCACGGTGTCTAGCCCAGGGCTGGCTTGTAGCTGGCACAGTTTGTCCTTAGGAGAAATATTCACATTAACCCACGATACATGTCCTGAGATGAGTCTCACCTTTGAAAAGTAAGATAGGCAGGCCTCAGACAGTAAACACACTGAGCTTTCTGAGCAGGGCCTTGAGGAGGTGGGTGAGGCTGGCTGATAGCTGCGTACCTAATGCAGGCAAAAGACCACCACAGGCAAAGGCCTCAAGAAGCGAAATACATCATTGCTTGTAGCCCACGAGCAACTTAAGAGTGTGGGGCATAGGCAGCCCCCAAGGACACCCCCCACAGGAAGCCCCACCATCAGCTTCATCTGGGAAGATGCTGTGGGAACAGACGCTGAGCCCTTGCAGAAGAGGAAGCTGACTGCAGGCGGGCAGGCCTCCGGCGGGAAGATGGCAGACTGATGGCTTGGAGCCTGCAAAATGAGCACCAAGCCATGCAGGCCCACAGCCCGTCTTCCTGCCCGGAGGATGCTGGGGTCCAGGGAAGGTACCGAGACCCTGTCCCTCTGCCTGTGAGGCGAGTCCCAGGGGCCTGGCTTTGACTCAGCACCCTTTCTAGGGTCTCAAGTCTTGTTGAGTTGTTTGTTGCCCAAAACCTCAATTTCTCTTTGCTGCCAAAAATCTTTATTGGCATCTGACTAAATTCCATGCATCCCTTTTCAACAGCTATAGCTAAATTTGTCTTTCCTTCTACCTCAAAGACTTGATTTTTAAGGGCATGTGTATGTTTCCAGCTCTTTCTTCTTCCTGCTTTTGCCACCAACCCAATCCATGTTCTCCTCTTTCCAGAACACTCCATAGCTCCTTGGACTCCAGGCTAACCATTATTCTCCCCATTTTATGTCTCTAATTTTTCTTTCATTCTCAGCAGACCTCTGCAGAAGCCAGAGTCATGCTCTGAGACTCACAACTAATTTTTCAAGGATGCTTATGTGCAACCTAAATATTTATACACCAATTCCATTCCACCTAATTCCACAAACATGCCCAGTGCCCATTACACGTGCTATTCTGTGCCAGGCTGGGGATGCAGCCCTGGACCAGCTCAGGGGCCAGATGAATCTGTCAACAGTGAGTAGACCCCATCTCCTGTTGATGGGCGGCAAGAAGAGGGGCAATGCAGGACAATAGGAGTGACCACTGAGTCAGGCCGAGATGACAGTGCTGGCGTTAGCATTGTTACTGAGTAAAGCTCACATGGAGACATGGCTTTAGACCTGGCCTGATGGGTGTGCTCACACCTCTATCAAGTGAATGGCCTCGCCTGCTTGCCCCCAGGTCCCAAAGAGAGAGCAGGCGCAGCTGAGTAGACAGCAGGCCCCGTACTTGCTCCAGAGGGCGGACAATGCTTACAGACAATTCATGAGAACCTAAAAGGTCTCTATAGCTCTAGCACCCGAACTCACCCACCACACAAGTGCGAGCAGCTAGTGAGGGAGAGAGGGCCCAGAAGAACGTCCTCTAGTAGAGGGCTCTCGATGGAAGGGACAAGTGGGGCAGGCAACTTCCAGAACAGACAGGGAGATGTGGCCAGGGAGAGAGGGACCACTGGGCCTGAGAAAGGATCACTGGGCTAGAAGGACATGGGGTATGGGGCAATGGGTGAGCCAGGGTGGGAGAAATGGAGACAGAGAGCCTAGCAGTGGGGAGACAGGGCACGTCTGGGTGCACGTCCCTGAGAAGGAGTCTCAGTTCCACCCGAGACCTAGAGACCCAGGTGTGAGGGCGGCAAAGCCTCCCCAGACCCTTTCCCTGCATGTGCTTCTCTCCCTTTGTGGTTGATTGGATATGTAAGACTTTAAGCCGAAAGTCCTAAGCCCTCAGTGACCCCTTTTTTGCACCCCAAGTTATCTCAGACACCAAAATCTAAATGACTTCTTGGGTGTGGCTCTAACAGACCAAGAAAAGATTGGGGGGGGGGGTGTTAAGGCACCCCTGGCCTCTTGTCTGTGCTCTCCTCTCCTTTGCTGGTGGACTCTTCCTCCCAGCTGACTCCACCCATACCTGAAACACGCTTCTCTTCACCTACAGTCCACGTGGTAGAATGCCAGGTGGGGTGACCTCTGACAATCCGTCCCCAGCTGCAGGCGCACAGCCCTCTTCCCTGGAATGGGATGGGAGGTGGCACAGGAAGGAATGCTGTGCAATTCTGGGCCTGGGCTCAAGGGGCCTGCCAGCTTCTGCCTTCTCCCTGGGAAGCTAGATGCCACATAAAGGTGTTCGACTTCCCTGCTGGGGGGAGAGGCCAGCTGGTGAGAGAGGGTCACTGGAAGATCCAGAAAACAAAGGGAAATCAAGAAGCCCAGTCAGCCCCAACTGTCCCAGCCACCCCAGCAGAGGCCAGGCCAGCAGAGTGGCACCATCCAGGACCACATGGGGCAGAGACACGCCATCCCCCTGCTCAAGTCATAGACTCTTGAGCAAACACATGATTTTTTTTTGTTCTTAGCAAAGCAAAAAAGTTTGGGGATGTTTGTTATGCAGCAGTACCAGTGACCATCATGTATCAACAAAGAAGGGACTGTAACAAAGACAATGAAGAGATGATACCAAGAGCCTTAAGAAAAACATTTTCATTAGGAGACCAAAAAAGAGAAGTGTTAGAATAGATATAAATATATTTATCATAGAAGAAAAAGCCCTAAAACCAATATAAATATTCAGGGAAAACTGCCCTGACTAAAAATAAGGATGATGATGATAAATTAAAATATATCTGTTTGGCACAAAGTCTCATGAGTAGATGGCTTTTATTGTGTTGTGAGCACAGATCCTTATCTATAGATATTTGAATCAAAGAAACTGAGCCCTCAATTTGTGGCATCTGAGAAGATCTTTAGAACTCAGTGAGAATGTAATATCTGAGCCTCAATGGAAGTCTATGCCAGAAGTCAAAGACAAGATAATTTTAGACCGAAATAAAATGAAAAGTGCCCCTAATAAAACCCAGTATTGCTAAATCTCAGAATATCACCCTGAAGCAAACAGCACCTTCATAACCCCTGGAAAGGAGAACTACAGAACTGTTTCAGAAACTGCTGTCACTGAGCACATTTATGGGGGGCTGGCAGCTCAGCGGAGATGGCCCCAAGGAGAGCACCAGGGACACAACAGCGGCCCCAGCACACCGCGGCCCTGGGGGTACTCCCCCATGACCACCTCACAGCCACAGGCCGACACGGTGACCGCAGACGCAGGCCGACTAACAGCAGCAGTTCATCAGACCTGCAGAGAAGCGCGGCTTGCAGGCCCAGGCACCCTGGCTTAGAGAATCAAGCGCTCTTAGAACCTGTCTCTAATAGTGGAAGATACATGAAAATACAAAGCATACCCTTTTTTTTGTTATTAGTCAATAAGCAACTATTTCATGCAAGAGCTGAGCAAACATGAAACCTAAGAAACTAAATTCTGGCGTGCCCAGGGACTCACACCAGACTTCCCTTCTCTGTGCTGCCTCCCCCACCCAGCATGCACTGAGCCCCATGCCGCTCCAATGCAGCAGAACTGATGACTCTGAAATGTGCTTTTATGGCCCAGACTCTCCTCTGACCCAGTCTCCCCGAACTGCCTCCTTGGCTTCTCTCCTTGCATGTCTGATGAGCCCAAACTGCGCCTCTGCTCCACCTGCCACCTTCCCCATCTTTGTTTTTGAAGTTGCTCAGACTGAAAACCTTGGTGCCCCTGCAGAAGACTGGCTTACCGTCCACAACTACGGGGGGCTCTCACAGGGATCTTGATCCTGCCCTGTGGAATTCAGACTTAGCTGTACGACTTCCTTTGAGCAAGGAAACACAAGCTGAAGTATATTATTCCAAGTAGAGGCTTTAAAAAACCTGTGTGCCCTGCTCTCTCCCACTGCTGCCACCATGACTGGCAACATTCAGGCTGAGGCCACTCCGTCAGCCTGGGCTGTGGGGAGAAGACCGTGTGGAACGGAGCCACGGCCAACCCACGGGGCACATTCTGTGGGGAAGTGAATTACTGCTGTTGTAAGAAAGATTCTGAAGTTGATGCTTAATGCAGCATACCTTGGCCTACCTTGACAATATGTTATTATATGTGTGTGTGTATTTTTATAGACTAGATAGATGTCCCTTGACTACCCTTTTTATTGCATATCTCATATCTGGTCCCCCAGCAAACTCGTCAAATCTATCTTTAAAACGTAACCTGAATCCAACCACTGCTCACACCCTGTTCCGTTGTCTCCCACTGAAATTACTGCCGAGACTTCCTAAGTAGTCCTGCCTTCTGCCTGCTGCCCCTGCCTCCCTAGAGCCTGTTCGCAGCTCGGCAGCCAGCGTGGTCCTCGTGAAGCATAAGCTCCTCAGCGTCACAATCTCCAGTGGCTTCCCCGCCAACCTTCTCTCAGGGGCCCCAGGCCCCCACGGCCACCTCCCACGGCCTTCTGACCACGTCCCCTACTTCTCCTCATCCACTCCTTGCCTCAGTGTTCCTGGGACATCCCTGCGCAATCCACCCCAAGGCATTTTTACGTGCTTTTTCTTCTGCCTGGAACGTTCTTCCAGAGACTCGCAAGGCCCCAGGTAGCCCTCACTTGCCTCTGTGTGAAGCGTTTGTCACCCCTGCTCCGAGCCCCCAGATTCTGGGCTTTCTGTCCCCGATACTCATCACCACGTGACAAACTCCCTATTTTTACACATGTATCTCATTTATCGTTTGTCTTCCTCATCACAAGGGAGGAATTTTTGTCTGTTCCATGTCATGGACTCAGCATCCTGAACAG